AGCTGATGAGAACTCCATAAAATAATAAACATCTAAGGAGGTCCACCTCAGAAAGTACAATCTTTGCAGCATAAAATCTTACTGCTGAGTAAATATTGTAATGCTTAACTGATATGGCTAGCAACCCAAAGAAATATATGTTTTGATAACCAGGTGCTTAGAAAACAATGTAATAGGGTCTTCTAATAAAAATAGAGGTGACTTATTACACAAAATTAAAAAGGATTCAGGGCTACATTATTTAAGGAAATCAATATCAGACACTTGGTTCTGATTCCAGAGTTTATGTAACATAGCTACAAATGCATGAGCAAGCTTACAACAGGGTAACACAATTATAGTCTAGTAACGTGTGATATCCAAGCCAATCTCCAAACAATCTCTACTGCACTTGCTATGCCAAACTAAAGCATGAAACATCATAGGAAAAAAAGTTTGAAATAAAAACTAATAAGGGGCAAAATCAGAAGCAAAGATTTAGTATCTATAAAGCCTTTTGCAAACAAAAAATCAATAATTCCATTTGCAACCTGTATGCGATGATCTTACACCATAGTATCTCCCATCTTTTATGCTAGTACCATGTTAAGATGTAGAAATATCAAAAACAGAACCACTCCCCCAAATTGAGCAAATAAATAACATAAAATAGAAAATACCTTTGTCGTTGTTCATTTACAGACTCTCTAAATTCAATATCGTGTTGTCGCTACTGCAACAGAGAATATAGGCAATTACAAGTCCTCGCAATCGAATCTACAAAGAAAAAAAAATGCCGATCGCATTAGCAGAAAAATTTAGAAAAAAAAAAAATTCAAGAAGCAGGATTAAATATGCTTCCAATGTATTAAAATAAAAATATGTATGCATAACAAAAAAATAAAAAACTATTAAAACAATAATATTGGGATGAATAGCATAACAAAATTTGACAAATATTCAAAAACCACCAATAAAAATTGTAAGGCTAACATGCTAAGGGATTATATTAATTAAAAACAGAGCAACATAATTTGAAAAATATTTGCATATGGAGCCAACAAACATTGAGGCTTTAATGCACAAAAAAATCCAACAATAGAATTCACTGAAAAAATGAAAATGAAAGACAAACTTATAAATATTAAATTTAAGTAAAAATAAAAATATAGATACATAACAAAAAATTTTAAAAAAGATATAAAAACAGTAACATTACCTCTCTTTAAATGCCAAAACTTCAAGAATATCATAGTTATTTATAAAGATCCTAATATTGAACATGGTGTTGCAAATCCCCATCACACCTAAATAAACCACCAAAAAAATTATATAAAACTTTCAAAATAAAATCTAAAAAAAATACTAAAATTAATAATTAAAAATATAGAATAAAACCTCTCCATGATTTCATCTTTGCAAATTGAATGACGAAAATAACAGATTCATTGAAGCTTTTATCAATAACTGAACACATCTCAACAGCAAAATTTTCCCAAAGAGTGCAACGAAGCTTATTACCACTGTTTGAAACAAAGAAGAAAAATAAATAAATTGAAAAAAATATAATGAGAAATTAATAAAAAAACAAAAATA